AAGAGGGGAAAATTTAAACCAATATATAACAAGTAATTTTGAACATTTTAATCTTTTAAGTTTAAAGCTAGAAATATTAACAATATGATCATTTCCAATCCAGAGATGCATATTCCAATGCAGTTCCTATTTTCCATAAATGGTTTTGGTAAGAAGAATATTGTAAATGTGGATACAGTTCCACTATTCCTCCTCAATGCCATGATATAGTGTTACTAGCATGAGCAATTACAAATCCATTGCCATCCTTACTCTAACTTAATTTTTTTTAATTTAAATTTATTATTAATTCAGTAAAAATTTACAGAGGCTTTGGTTTTCCATTCACTCATTGTTTCACATTTCTCTCATCCCAAGCCTCTCCCCAAAATAGAATCTTGAGTGTATTCCATCTGAATTTTAAAATAATCTTAAGAAGAGGTTTGAATTTTGAGCACCAGTGATCAAAGACCAGATGAATTGTGGGATGACATCAAGGATATCATCCATGAAGAGACCAGAAAGTCACTATGAAGACAGAGGAAAGGGGTGGGGGAAACCCAAAATGGATGTCAGAAGTTGTTGTTGTTATATGCCATCAAGTCGTTTGCGACTCATAGCGACCCTATGTACAACAGCCCTAAACCCTGCTCTATCCTGTGCCAATCGCAGAGACATGAAAATTGCAGTACACCTTCAATAAACCAAAACAAAGGGAGGATATGTTGAAGTAAAATAATTAAACAGAAGATTTCAAAGGGCAGCTTGAGAAGACAAAACCAAGGTCAAAGGCAATAGAAAAGGGAGATCATTGTTTCGTGGTTCCCAGACACTCAGCAACATTCGACATTTCGTTGAGTATTTCATCAAAGTGTGGCCTTTCATCCCTAGATGACCAAGCTTAGTGACCTAAGTAGAAAATAAGTTTCAAGAAGGAGATCTGCCTTTGAACCTTGATAAGAGTATAAGAAATTGTACTGTCAACCCAAAGGCATGGTTTAAATCTGCCAACTGCTCTGCAGGAGAAAGATGGGAAGTCTCTTCGTTTGATTAACTGCCCTGTAAACCCAATGGAGGGTCATCTATCAGTTGATTCCAACTCGATGTTATACAACAATATACATAAAAAGCATATTGGGTTTTAGAATACTTTGTATATGTGGGAAGCTGTGACAGATTAAAATTCAATTAGTTGGTTGACCCTTTTGACATTTTAACGAATTAGTAGTAGAATCAATTACTTAGAAATATTCTCAAAAGTAAACTAAAACAAAACTCTAATATCATTAATGCATCTGTATTAACCATAATTTGGTTGCCTCTACATAAAAACATCATTAGACATTTACTCTGCAAGAAATTTAAGTCACTATAAATAAGTGGAAACAACATTGGAGCTTAGTTTCTCCTCAAGAAATAGTGCAAAATGAAAAAAGGCTAAAGTGAAATCTCTCTCCCAGGCATTTCAAAAGTGCAGTATATTGTCAAATGCTCTAACTAAAGAAACAGACATTTTCCAGACACTTGCAAGAAAAAGGCCATTTTCTAAATTTGTTAAGAGATTTTTTTCTTGGAGTTTGGGGTGGGAGAGAGGCAAGTGGATCAGGGCCTTTATTTTCTATTTTCTTTATTTCTGTAGAGTTTGAATATTTTAATAAAGGACACATATTGCATTTGAAGTAAAGTGTTTATAACAAAACTCAATAGTAGATAATTGGTTTTCATCAGAAATGTTAAGTCAACCCTTCCATAAAAACAACTGAGGAACTTCAAGGGAAGCCAATATTTATAAACTTGCTGTCTCTAGGTTGCTTTCCACTTCAATTGCATTTGGCTTTTCATATTTGGTTGACTGTTTAATGAGCCTCTTTAGTGGCCTGTCCCCAGGGTTAACTCACAACTCTTCCTAAATAATTTCAAAATCAGTTTGTTCAAGCAGGTGTTATTTTCTAGGCAGCTCTTGCCAAAGGACAGCCTGTTCATTAACAAGTTTCAGATCTGGATAACTCAGAACGTTATTTCTGGTAAGGAAAATATGTGCCACATACACATTATTGTTTTTGAAATCTGCTATTTGATAAGGAGATTTTGACACCATAATACACGCACCAAAAAAAACCCCCAAAAAACAGTATAATTCTAAACATTTGTGCAGTCTTCTCTGAGATCAATTCATAAAAGTTTAGGCACTGTGTCACTCCTTTGATTAAAAGGCAACCATGTTGTCGTCATTGTTGTTGTTGTGTGCTGTTGAGTTGCTTGTGACTCATTGTGACCCTATGTACAACAACCCTAAACCCTGCTCCGTCCTGTGCCAATCTCTCTGTCTCAGACATGCCCACCCTAATTAAACCAGTCACTGAATTAATCCACCTCATAGAAGGTCTTCCCCTCCTGTGCTGTCCCTCCACCCTCCAAAGCATGATGTCCCTCTCCAAGGACTGGTTCCTCCTTGCAACATGTCCAAAGTATATGAGACGAAGATTAAGAATCCTTGCCTCCAAGGAGCAGCTCGTTTTAACCCTCTCCAGGATAAACCTGTTTGTTTTCTTAGCAGTCCCTAGTATATTCAATACTCTTCTCCAGCACCACAGCTCAAAGGCATAAATTCTTCTTCTATCCTCCCTAGTCATTGTGCAACTCTCTGACGCATAACAACTGATTGCAAAGACCATGGCCTGTATCAGGAGTACCTTAGTCTCCAGAGTGACACCACTGCTCTTCAGTACTTTGGAGAGGTCCCTAACAGCAGACTTTCCCATCGTAATACGTCTTTTCATTTCCTGGCTTCTGGTGCCAAGAGTGTTGACTATGGACCCAAGAAAACTAAATCTGTAAACTATCAATCTCTTCACCATCCGTCCTCATGCTGCCAATTGGTCCAGTGGTGAGAATCTTTGTCTTCTTGATATTGAGCCTCAATCCATACTGAAGGCTGCAGTCCTTCACCCTCTGCAGCAAGCACTTCAGGTCCTCCTCAGTTTCAGCAAGCAGGGTTGTGTCATCTGCATAATGCAGATTGTTGATGGTTCTTCCACCAGTCCTGATACCACACTTCTCATAGATAATTTGTTCTGCATATAGGTTGAAAAGGTATGGAGATAGGACACATCTCTGGTATACACCCTTCCCTATTTTGAACCATGCAGTGTTTCCTTGCTCTGTTCTGATGACTGCCTCTTGTTGCAAGTATAGCACTATCAAGTGTTCTGGGATTCCCATTCTTCTCAGAGTCAGCCACAGTTTTTTATGATCCACACTTGTTGTGGTTGTTGTTATGTGCCATTGAGTCACTTGCAACTCATAGAGACCCTATGTACAACAGCCCTAAACCCTGCTCTATCCTGTGCCAGTCGCACTGCCTCTGACACACCCATCCCAATCACCCCAGTCACTGAATCAATCCACCTCACAGAGGGTCTTCCCCTCCTGTGCTGTCCCTCTACCCTCCCAAGCATGATGTCCCTCACAAAGGACCTGTCCCTCCTTACAACATGTCCAAAGTGTGTCAGAAGAAGCCCCAGAATCCTTGTCTCCAAGGAGTAGCCTGGTTTAACCCTCTCTAGGATGAATCTGTTTGTTTTCTTGCCAGTCCATGGTACATTCAATACTCCTCCAGCACCACAACTCAAAGGCATCAATTCTCCTTCTATCCTTCCTAGTCATTGTCCAACTCTCTGATGCATCACAAGTGATTGCAAAGACCATAGCCTGTATCAGACTCACCTTAGTCTCCAGAGTGACACCATTGTTCTTCGGTACCCTCAAAAGGTCCCTAACAGCAGACTTTCCCATCGCAATATGTTTTTTTTTATTTCCTGACTACAGTTGCCAAAAGTGTTGACTGTGGAGCCAAGCAGACTAAAGTTGTTAGCAATCTGATTCACACAGTTTTTTAAAAACATAAGATTGTATTTCAGGTACCATTGTTTTGTTTCAGATATTTCGCATATTCCCAGGGAGCTAAAGTCAGCTTCATTATGTATTCTAGGCAAGTTAGGTTAACTATCCAATCTACACCTCTAGTAATAAAACTAGCTCCTAACTACGGAAAATATTAAAGGCTTGGAAAAGAATAATGCTCCATGGTAAGTATGCAGACTATGTGTGTTTCGAATTGTTTCTGGGTTAATTTGATTTGAGAAGAAGATGTTCTTAGCCTTAAACATTAACAACTGGACATTCTAAACCAAGTGCCTAAATGTCTAGAAATACTTAGAGATTCTTGATGTGTTTCTCTCTAACACGTTTTATTTGATATTTTAGGAGTTCGTGATGATTGTTGTCTTTGGTTTGGAATTCATTATTCGCATCTGGTCTGCTGGTTGCTGTTGTCGGTACAGAGGATGGCAAGGAAGATTGAGATTTGCCCGGAAACCTTTCTGTGTAATAGGTGAGTTTGAAAGTCTGAGAATCGAAGTCTCAAGATAACCTTGGAGGTACTGTGTCCTTCTCATCCGCACCTTACAGTCCAGCATTTTATTGCTATTGAAAATCAAAAGCAAGTGGATACAAACAATGAGCACTCTTGTATTTTAAAACTGTTGACTCATTTCTTTATCGTAACTACACAATAAGGTCAGGAAGCTCTGGTGATTTAGTGGTAAGGAGCTGTGATGCCATTCCAAAGGCAAACAGTTTTAATTCACCAGTTGCTCTGCTGAACAAAGATGGAAAATCTCCTCCTATATGATTTACAGCCTCTGAAAACCCAATAAAGATCATCAGTGAGTCAGTTCTGATTTGGTGACACCTAGCAACCACCTCCACAACATACTACAGATGAAGGACCTGGGTCAATGACTGGAATATTAGGTTACTTAAAGTAATCCACGTACTTAAAGGTCATTTTTGGGATTTGAACTTTGATTTGATTCTAGAACATCCTCTTTATGGGTCAAGTTGTGCAGTGATATATGGTTCTTCTGTGTTTGTTCCTTTGAAGCAAAAAAACCACTGATTCCTATATATCAAGTATAAAAAAATCTCCTTTTGTTATCTTGAGTATAAAAATCTTTTTTGCTATACTCTTGATCAGCTGGATTGGATAGTTCTATAATTCCTGGCAACATATACAGATTAGCATGTTTCAAAAATAATTATGTTTTATCCAGAATTTGAAATCCAAAAATGAAGCCCATAGCTAATGAGTCAATGCCAATTCAGAGAGACTCTAGTGGACAGACTCTAACTACTTACTTAATTTCCAAGTTAAAATCTTTGTGGAAGGAAATTTTGCCACATCTTAATCCTGTCACATCTTCCGCCCTGCAGATATACTGATGAGTTCAAATCACAGATCTCTCAGTTAGTAGTTGAATACATAACCACTAATGCTACCAAGATCCCTCCCTAGTGATTTTAGAACTAATAAAGTGCTCTGAAGTCTAAAACATGAGTCCTCCTCACCTGCAACTCCCAGATAAGGAGTAGATCTCTGAACCTCTCTAGATGCTGCTGTTTCAGAGGGATTCTGTTCATTTGGGTACCAGCTTGAAGTGATATTTCTTAATGAAAATGCCATACAGTATTGTGGAGTTAAGATCTGGCATCTCCCAGTAATATATTTAAAAGCATATCATAAAATTGAAAGCCCCTAATATACACTATTAGTGTTATTGTTATTAGTCAGCTAAATCTGATTCTCTTGGGTGTTTTGGGTTTCTGTTTTGTTTTGTTTTTTTTTCCTTACTTCTTAAAGCATAAATTCAAACTCAAATACTGGAAGTTCATGGTGAAGGTTTACTTATTTCTACTATTTCCAAGCTGGAAACACTGGGTTTTGTAATGTACTTGATAGTTCATATAGATTATCTCCTCCTCATCCACAATAGGTTATCTTCACACACACACACACACACACACACACACACACACCTTTTTAAGATTCAGGAAAGGCTGAGAAACCCTTTGATTTCTTCTTTTCTGCTGAGGAATATGTAAAGAGTTTGTTTTTTTTTTAATTTAGGTTGTTTATTTTTCATTTCAATGAACATCTACAGAGATTTTGGGATTCCATTCATTCATTGTTGCACCCTTCTTCCCGCACAAACCCCTCCCCCCCCGTTTGCTCCTCTCCTTGAAAAGCTCCCTCATTGGTACACAAACCCCCCCTGCACCTCCCCAAACCCCACCCCCTACCCCCAAATATAATTCACTCTGCAACCCTCATTGCATACTCCTACAATAAAAATAATGCCCTAAAATATAATACTTTTAGACTATTCTCTACCCCATAGACTTCAATGCCGTAAACATATTTCATCCAGTTTTTCTCACGTAAAGAGTTTTACAACTCAAATGTGTCGTCTCCTTGTGTGTGACTTACTCCCTCTGAAAACCCACTGGATGGTCAGCTATGAGTCAGTTCCAATTGAGCAGCACAAAACAACAAAAATGGTAGAGGACAGGCACTCCAGTTGGATATTCCACAGCATGTTGCACCAGAAATACAAGAGTCTCCAGGGGTGTGAATTTTCCAGCAGTTTTGGAAGACAGATTGGAAGTCTCTTCCCTTTAAGATTTACAGCCTTAGTAACCAGATGGAAGGTCACGACTTGTCAGATTCATCTCAGTGGTTTATGAGAGATGGAGGAAGAGTGAGCTAAGGAAGACTTGAAGAAAATATCTCTTCATACTAGGGCTTTGTAAAGAAGAGTCCTGTCAACCAACTTTGCTGTGTTTGCAGAGTAAACCCTGTGGATGAAAGAACTGGTGGTCACCTCAGACAGTCTCTGCCACAAAGATATTTCTGTGTTATGCATGTACAAGAGCCATCATTTATTTAATAAAGATGTACTAAGTACATTAGTTAATCAAGAGAAATATCTGAGTTAAATCAACTTTAAAATACTGTTTGGAATTCATTAGTGCTGTCTCTTTCACCAAATACTCCTTTTTCCCCAAGAATAGGCTTTAGTTCTTTTTAGAAATTGTTGTGCTAACTATCACTGGTAAGTATCAATAAAAGTAGATGTTAAATTCTCAACTTCTCTTTTCAAAAACAGGCTTTATGTCTTTGGAAATTGTTATGCGAAGGACTGATGAAGATAGGTGTGAAATTCCCAGCTTCATAGGCCTAGCCAGTCCCAAGGCATATTAATGAAGGCACTTGATTTTAAACCTTGAAGACATTTGTTTCTTTCTGAATTCCCTGTCCAAGCAACATTTTGAAGGACTGTAGCCTGATATGAGGCCACTGAACAACAAATACTTTGTGTCCCTTTGAGACCCAAACTAAACAATTCATGAGGCAGATGGTTAGCCATATTCATTCAACTTCTGCAGAATAAATTGGGTTCATGGATGATTTCAAGAATATTCCATTCCAGATTTTAACGCCAATTAAAAATTGGGTTTGTTCCAATTCCAGAGCCAATACCAATGTAGTTCTGACCTCCCAGCTAAAAAGATAGTTCTCTCCAAGATGCTTGCTGGCATTAGATAGCTGGTTTTGGCTGTGGATACATCAGACAATCTTAGTATTGTGATAGTGTGTAGTTCTAACAATGATGTTATGTAGCCTGTTATCACACTTGCCTATAGTCTCATTAATAGTGACCTTACAAATTCAGCATGAGATGATTAATGGCAGCAGTTAATTCTTCAGACTTCTGCTTCATCTGAGTCTTTTATCTCAAATTAATCACTTTGCAAGAAAGTTTCATGTGTAAATAGTGACTCCCCATTAAAAAAAAGATGATATTCCTACTTATGTGTATGATAACAAGGAATTTTTTTGTCTTTTGTTCATTGTGCACTTAACAGTTTAATCCATGGTCCAACCAACTTGAGGTAATGTTGAAATATATTCAAATGTGGTTCAGTTCTTCAGTACAAATTTAACCAACTACCTAAAGGCAACAGTTTTTCTGGATGCCTCCTGAAACTCTCTTTGGCATTTTTAATAGGTTCATGAACATGACTAATGTCACAGATTGACTAATGAAAGTGAATTGTGAAATGCACCTCATAGCCTTTTTGTTCAAACTAATATATTATGCATAGGGTTTTTGATGAACAAAACAAATTGCACTGGAAAAGTCTGCTGTCAGGGACCTCTCCGGAGTGCTGAGAAGTAATGATATCAGTCTAGAGACTAAGTATCATTGCCACAGTGCTTGTCAAAGCCAGTTCTGATTAATCTCCTTTGTCAGTGTATCCTTTGTCATTCCCTATTACTCCTCCCTGAGAGAGACTTCACCCTGATTCATAAGGAAAAGGGGATGGCGTATTCTCTTAGCTACTTCCTGCTGAAAAGGGACGCTGGTAGGTTTCAGAGTGAAGATCTTCTCTCACTACTCTAAAGGGCCCCATATTGACCAACTTACACAATTTGATAGAGACCGCAAAGGCTAATTCCCAAAAACTTTCTTCTCTTTAATTGCCCACCCTCTGTCCTTACCTTCTAGCCAAAGCTAGGAATATTTCTAAAACTTTTTGACTTAAGAAATCATGAGATCATTGTACACTTTTGTTTGGAAAACATTTTAAATAATTGTAACCTGATCCAGGAAGTATTAAAAGAAGATGGATATACTGAGTCACTGTATCGAAAGCAATTGGAAGACACAGAAGAATTTCATGAAATAACATATGAGCAAGAGCCTATGGTGATGAAGGAAGAAGTTCAAGGTGCTTTGAAGGAAATAGCTAAAAATAAGGCCCCAGGAATAGATGGTATACCAATTGACGTATTTCAGTAAATGGATACTGCCCTGGATGTGCTCACCAAGTTGTGCCAAGAAATCTCAAGAACAACCACTTGGCCAACTGACTGGAAGAAACTATATTTGTTCCCATTCCAAAGAAAGGTGACCCAACAGAGTGTGGAAACTACAGAACAATCTCATTGATTTCACATGCAAGCAAGATTCTACTGAAGATTATCAAAAAATGACTGGAACAACACATCAACAGAGAACCGCCAGGATACAAGGCTGGGTTTAGAAGGGATTGTGGTACTAGGGATATTGTAGCTGATGTTAGATGGATCTTAGCTAAAAGCAGGGAATACCAGAAGAATGTCTATCTGTGTTTCATTGATTATGCAAAGGCATAATAATGTGTGGATCATAATAAACTGTGGTTGACTCTGAGAGGAATGGGAATCCCAGAACACTTGATCGTTCTAATGTGAAACCTATACTTGAACCAGGAGGCAGTCATCAGAACAGAGCAAGGGAACACTACATGGTTCAAATTGGGAAAGGTGTACACCAGGGATATGTGATATCTCCATACCTTTTCAACCTACACACAGAACAGATTATCCAAGAGGCTGGGTTCTATGAGGAGAAGTGTGGCATCAGGATTGGTAGAAGATCTATCAACAATCTATGTTATGCAGATGACACAACCCTGCTTGCTGAAACTGAGGAGGACCTGAAGTGC